AGCCAGATGAACTTGTATTTGGAACCAAGTTAGTAGTTTATAGTAGATGAGGCAGGAGGAAGAAAGCAATCAGCTATACTTCCCTGAGCTTTACTTACTCTGCCATGCTCATAGAAATATAAAGAAATACTTCCACTATTAAATGAAATTGGTATATGACTCTTAAGACACATAGGAAGCAGGACTGAAGAGGGTCTGGCTGTATCTGACTGACCTGGGCATAAAAAGCAGTGACAGCCTTCACCCTCTCCTCCAAGGCCATTGGATCAAGCCATGTAATTGTGCTGTGGACAGCATGGCTTTTAGGATGAGAACAAGTCTAGTTAGCAATGAATGATAAAGAACAAGACAAGAATTGTGTAGCAGCCTCCCCCCCAGGTATAATTTATCACCGTCTCAGCCTTCTCTGCCCAAGGACTTATTGATGGCCGTTAATCCACCCAGTAATGATTGCTGTAAGCTCTTAAACCCTTGTGTAGCCCACAGAAACAGAATCTTGAATCATTAAGGAGGCTCTGACCAGATTAACAGCATCTCATCACCAGCAGAAAGTCCAGAGTGCATCTATGCTGGGATGTCTCTTCGTCCTTTCCCCACACAACACCCCTCTCCCGACTGGCCTACCACCCCACAAGCTTCACCAGCAGTGACAAAGGACTGCTCCTTGAGGAGCCACTCTGGCCCAGTATGATGGAGCTGGTGGATGGATTCCCAGGTGGACACACTGGGAATCTCTCTCTTGCAGACCAGTGTATGACTGTGGCAGAATGAGCCAGCACCTCTGTCCTTTCAAAATGAGCTGCCTTGCACACTCTGGGGCCCAAGCAATGGGCCCCAGAATGAACAACAACTGCACAGCAATACAGAAGGGGGAGGCTCCAGCTCCCCCTACCCAGGGTCAGTGCTCCAAGTCCAGCTCTAAATGAAGGGAACCATAATTTGAGCCTAGCATCCTCTGGTGCTGGAAGTTGTTCTGACATCAGCATAGACTGCATGCAAGAAAAACAGTCACAGCTGGTATTCCCTACAGATAAAGTGACCCTTGGCTTAAATCCCAAATTCTGACGCTAAGGGGTCTCTGATTTGTATCTTCCCTGCATAGCCTGCCTGTGTTTTTCCCCAAATCCAGCTCATTATCAGCAGAAACTGCTTTGCCCTGTCTATCCATACATAACTGAGCTATTGCGTAAATCATCTTGATTGAAACAGTCAATTTCCACCTGGAAACTGTCCAAATGGATTCGACTCTGCGTATTCTCTTGCCAAGAACTAGATGAAATTCTGATACCAACAGGTCTCCTAGCACATTCCACCAGGTCTAAGACAGCTGCAAGTGCATGTCTCTACTGCTGGGATACAGAAAGTCTGACACAAGAGTATTCTAGACCTGAGATTCCATTTGAGAGAGGACTCCTGTAAACTTTACTCATGTGAGGTGCCCCAAAGTCATCTCCTCTAGGTCTTGGGTCTGTTTCTTAATTACCAAGCGTGGGGATATCTGCAAGTGATGCTCAAAAAAGAAAGCACTATATTTTCTTGCAGTTTACATGCCACCAAATAAGGCACACCCCTTGGTTGGGGAAGGCAGAAAAAATAAGATGATTGTTCCAGTCATGGCTAAATGCTAACTGCAGGGGATCCTGACTGAAGTGGCTGGAGAGATGACAGGGTTAATGCTGTCGCTCTGACCATGAAGGGTGAACTCCACTGCCCTCCTTCCCTGATGCTGGCAGAAGGATCACAGCAACCATCTTGCAGCAGCTTCTGCCTGCGTCTAATTTTCCAGCAAAGACAAATTAGCTTCCCTGCTTAGGAGAGACACCCCAATTTCAGAGGGCTGATTTTTCTGGTGGGGAGCAGGCAGAGGAAGTGCGGTAGTATGCAAGTGAATTCAGTATGATTGCTTAGTATCATAGCTAGGGCCTCTTACAGCTGATTAGCTGCATAGATTCCAAGTAACATCCTAATGGAGGACACAGAGCTGAGTGATGGGACCCCTCTTTTAAATCCTCCAAAGCAGAGAAAAGGACAGACAATGCATAAATATTGCTCTGCTTGAAACTGAGCTTTCACAGTGATGGGACCCACATCCTCAAGTGTATAGACCTGACCATCTCTCATAACCACAACTACTACAGAACACGACGCCTTCCTTTGACTATTAGTTGAAAAGAGTACCAGTCTAGGGTCTATCTATACTGCAGAGAAATCAAACATGGGAAAATGTCAATTAATGTGAACATAAGGATCACCATAGTAGGTCAGATCAATGGTCCATCTAGCCCAGTGTCCTGTCTCTGACAGTGGCTGGAGTAGATGCATTAAAGGGAAAGCACTGAACCAGGTATATCTAGAGTTTATTATACTCCCTAGCATCCACCATCTTTGGCTCAGAGATGCCAAGGATGCATCTTTGTCTATTCTGTTTAATATCTATTAATTTAATGCCTATAGCTACCTATTCATACCTTAAATTTGTCTAGTCCCTTTTTGACCCTGGTTATAGAGTGCACCCTCAGCAAGTTTGCAGATGACACCAAGCTGGGGGTAGTAGCAGATATGCTGGAGGGTAGGGCTAGGATTCAGATAGACCTAGGCAAATTGAAGAATTGGACCAAAAAAATCTCATGAGGTTCAGTAAGGACAAGTGCAAAGTCCTGCACTTAGGATGGAACAATCATATGCACCAGTACAGGCTGAGGGCTGACTGGCTGGGCAGCAGCTCTGCAGAAAAGGACCTGGTGGGTATAGTGGACAGTAAGCTGGATATGAGCCAACAGTGTGCCCTTGTTGCCAAGAAGGCAAATGGCATACTGAACTGCATTGGCAAGAGTGTTACCAGCAGAACAAGGGAAGTGGTGATTCCCCTCTATTCAGCACTGGTGAGGTCACATCTGGAGTACTGTGTTCAGTTTGACCACATCCTTTCTGTAGTGGGAGGACCAAAACTGGAGAGTCCAGTGGGAGCCATGAAAATGGTCCAGGGGCTGGGGCACATGCCTTCTGAGGAGGGGCTGAGGGAATTGGGCTTATTTAGTTTGCAGAAGAGAAGACTGACAAGATATAATAGCAGCCTTCAACTACCTGAAGGGTCGTATGAAAGAGGATGGAGCTAGACTTCTCAGTGGTGACAGATAACAGAACAAGGAGCAACACCATCAAGTTGCAGCAAGGGAAGTTTAGGTTAGATATTAGGAAGATTTTTTTCACTAGGAGGGTAGTAAAGCACTGAAACAGGTTACCCAGAGAAGTTGTAGAATCTCCATCCTTGGAGGTTTTTAAGACCAGCTAGACAAAACTTTGGCTGGGATGATCTAGTTGGGGCTGGTCCTGCTTTGAGTAGGGGGTTGGACTACACTGACCTCCTGATGTCCCTTCCAACCCTAATTTTCTATGATTCTATACTATCTGCCTCTTACAATCTTCTGGTAGCAATTAGTTCCTGAACTTTACATGTAGTGTAAAAATGTAGCTGGAAAAGAAGTTCTTGCTCATGTTCTGTACTGAGTTCTAGTAAAGCAGTAGCTTCTCAAAACCAGTTAGAGGGAAACAGATCAGACCTTGTTCAATTAATTATCTTTAATATCATATTATTGTCAAGTTATCCATAGCTCAGAGAAACAACACTAGACAACCTAACAGCAGGAAACTCAATCCAAGACTTGTGTTTCCATTCAGTGGTTCCAACACAATGTACTGAAAGATAAAGGAAAAATTCAACATTTGTTTTATTTATGTAGTCATAGAACAAACAGAGGATTTAATTTCTCTCTTTTCAGGCTGAAGTTTCCTACTAAATGACATGTCCTCCTTCCTGACAAATGAAGTCTCCTTCTATCATTAACGATTTTCCTTACAGTAGCAGGAGGAGGGCCGGACGTGAGTGTGGGGGGGAAGGTTTAACATTGCTATTCATAAATGGAAGAGTGAAACCAGTGTTCTATGTCCACTGAGCTAAGACTCTGCCAATCACGGGGGTTTTTTGTACAGAATCCACAATCCACACACAGTGCGACACGAGTACTAAATGGATTACCACAAAAGGTACTATTTTTAAAGTCATGAATTCTACACAGAACACTTACACTGCCCACTCAAGCTTCTCATTCTTGATTGAATTGTAGAGAGCCTGCAAAGAGAAAGAGACAAGACAGAATTATTATTGTGACTCTGCCATAAGTTTTAAGATGCCAATGAAAAGTGGCCAAGAACCAACTGCTTCTGATCAAGAAGGTACACTATCCACACGTGACAACATTTGTACCCGAGTAGGAGGCATAATATTGCTGAAGGTGGAAACAACATATCAAGAGATAGGGTCCTATTTTTCTATAACATTTTTAAGCTAAATATTTTTGGTTTGCATTATCCCACAAGCTTCTGAACGGCAGGGAACAGTCTGCACCTCAGATAAAATCATGGCTCCATTGAGACAATAGGAGTTTTCCAAATAAATCTGATGGGTCAGAATATTACCTCTGGTATTAATCTAAAAAACTAACAGAATAGTTTACTGGTGACATGCACCAAAATCACCGAACCCCAAATATACATAAACCCTTCCATCTTATGTGTACAAAGACATTTATAAAGATGTTCAGCCTCGATGTGAAAGGCATGTTAAATAAATTGGAAATACCCAACACATTTAAGATAACAATCTGCTACAGCTGTTCACTAACAGAGCTGCTCTTAATTTTTAAGAGACAGAGGCCAGTGACTTTGACACTGAAGAGTTCATATTTTCTAAGTGCTCAGTGTGCAGTAGCTGGTCATTATAAAATGGAGGCTCTACAGGATGAAATCTCCCATGTATATCAGAGATGGGAGGTGTGTTTCCTACGAGTGTGAGCATGGGAAATACACTGGCTAAGTGTGCCTGATGTCGTGTTCCTCAAGTGGCTGCTCCCAAGAGTGGACAAGAACCAGCTACTGCTAACAGCTAATGGAGTTATTGCTTGAACATGTCTCTGGCACTTATGTTATTAGTTATGGGAAAGACCAGGTTGTAGCATGCCTATAACCCACATTTGGGATCTTTACATATATGAATACGTACTTCCTCCTCCAGATAATTACTGAAGGGATTCATTTCAGTCAAACTCATTCTCCTCCCTAAATTGTGATGTCCAGAGGAAGAGCATCTCAAAATAGGACATACACGGTTGTACCCACAGGGTGCCCATATATGTGCTCTATTGCATTTTAATTAGAACATGTCAGAGCACACTCGATTAATTAAGTCACCTGGAGCATTCTAATTAGAACTCTCCAGCAGGCCCGACCATCATGTGTATTCAGCATCCCATGTTTCAAAATAGCAGTCGGGGTGCATTAACTAAAGCTCGTTGAATAAGCTATAGTTAAAGCACCTGCAACACCATTTTGAAACAGAGGTTGCTGAATACATGTGATGCTGCAGTGTTTTAATTAGAACAGCTCTCCAGGAGCTGTTCTAATTAAAATGCCACCCCCTCCCCCACCTCCCACCCCAGATCATATGTATAGACACCCTTGGTTACCAAAATAAAGGCACATATACAAAAATCACCAGATAAAGTTGTATAAATAACTGAAATGCACCTATAAATAGAACAAGTCTTACTGGCTAGCACCAACAGCCTTAACTCTGCCCCAAAATAAACTTCACATATGCTGACTATGTAGTTTACATTATACTTGGTCCTCCTGAAAGAGGTGAAACTACGATGCATAGAACACTGATAGCTTCATGTTGTCCACTTGTAGGATAAGTGCCAAAGCACGGGTTCTCCTGCCCCCGATTCATGTGGGAAATCCATGCTAGCCCAGGAGAGTAACATAGTGCCATGGTATCTTTATTTTAAGTCCCAAACAAGATCATAAAACTGCTGTTCTTATTTTAAAGTAGCCAATGGTAGTACCCATAGAAGCACCATGTTTGTGTAAAGCCAGCTTCCAGAGGTCCCAGAAGATGTCAGAATCTCCACTGTGCTGCTACATTTTCTGCTCTGGGGGGTTTACATATTACCACTCATCTGCCTCGAGCTTTCCATGCTTTTAGGGAAGGTGTTCTCTGCTCCAAGGACTTCACAAACTAAGGACAAATAAACACTTAAAAGTCAGTGAAGGAGAATAACTGGCCATGCACATGCAGTTTGCCTCATTTTAAGATGAGGAATCACAAGTGAGTTTAATCAACAAGAAGAGAAGACGACAAGATTTGTGTTGATCTGCTTGTGTACTAGGTAGGACTAGTACATAATTCAATAAGTTGTGTTTTTAACAGGACCTAGTAGAAAGGGACCTTCTTTCATATTCTTTAGGTGAACTGACACTTTCCATTCTGACCTTTTCTTCCCAGTTTCTTTTAACTTACTCTGAACTGCTGTAACCTAGCAAAGTTCCGATGTTTGCTCTCTGGCCCAGTTTTATTTTTGGGGTTTTTTTAAAGGTTTAGTTAAAAAGGTAAATGACTTCCAAAAGTGAAGGGGGGGAAATAGACAGTTTTGCCAAGGGTAATATTTTTCCCCCAGGGCATTTATTTTTGAAGAGCTCTTTCATAGACATTTCTTAGACATTAGGGGCTGGAAGGGATTTTGTGAGACCATCGAGTCCAGGTCTCCCCCTCTCCACCATAGGCAGGAAGTCAGCTGGGAGCAAGTGACCCCAGAAAGAAATATATCCACGTTTTTTTAAAGAGTCCAGAGTAGGTGCTTGCACCACCTCTGGGGGGAGTTTGTTCCAGACCTGGACACCTGTACCGTAAAGAACTTTTTTCTTATGTCTAGCCTAAATCGGCCTTCCTGGAGTTTATGGCCATTAGACCTTGTTATCCCTTGGGGAGTTCTGGTGAACAGCTGTTCTCCCAGGTCCTGATGTACCCCACTTATATAATTGTAGGCTGCCACCAAGTCCCCCCCTGAGCCTTCACTTTTCCAGACTAAAGAGTCTCATGTCCCTCAGCCTCTCCTCATACGACTCCCCTCCAGGCCTTGAATCATATGAGTGGCTCTCCTCTGGACTCTCTCAAGCTTTGCCACATCCCTCCTGAAGGGGGGGGCCCAGTACCGAATGCAGTACTCCAGCTGTGGTCTCACCAGGGCTGAGTTAAGCAGGAAAATGACTTCCATGGTTTTGCTTGAGATGCATTGGTGGATGCACGCCAGAATTTGGTTTGCTTTGCCAGCCACAGCATTGCATTGGTGGCTCATATTTATCTTGTGGTCAATCAAGGCCCCCAAGTCCCTTTTGGTTGTGGTGCTAGCAAGCGTAGCAGTGCCAAGCCTGTAGGTATGTAGCTCTTCCATTTTTACAGTTTGACATGAAATTTTGAAACTGGGTAAGAAGATGGCCCAGGGTTAGGGAGGTGCCCTGTGTATTCACCTTCAAAAACCCAGATAGACTTGGCCATCCTAAAAACCTGAAAATAATTATCTGCACTTTTTCAGTGCTGCTTGTTACAGGCTTATTGCTAAATCTCTTCCAGGATCACACCTGCACTAAGTAGACTTGGACACGGGTGCACCAACAGGGATTTTGGGGGCCGATACCGATAGCCGAATTTTAAGGAGGCATTATCGGCCAATACCAATCCGATTTCCGATTCAGCTGCTTGCAGCTGGTAAGTCCATTGTGGTGGAAGGGGAGGAGGGAGGGAAGGGGCTTGGGGGCAAATTAAGGCCCCTGCAGTGAGGGAGGAAATGGGGCTGGGGCAGGCATTGCCCAGCCAGGACAGGGCAAGGCGCAGGACAGAGCTGTGGCTTGTCCAGGGGTGCAGGGTGGGGGGTGACCCCCACCTCTAAGCGCACCTGGGAGGGCATGGGGGGGGGTGGGACAAGTGCCTCATGGATCTGTGGGGCAGGGCGGGACGGGCTGCAGCTGTAGGCTGGGGCCGGGACTGCACCGGGCTCTTCCCGGAGGGGGCTGGGCCAGGCTGCACTTGGGGCAGGCGGTGGCAGTGCTTGGAGGGGAGCTACAGGGGAGGCTACAGCCACCCCAAGTTTTGCTGTAGCCCCCACTCCCAGCACCACCACCTCCCACCCTGAGTGCAGTCCTGGCCCAATCCTCCCCACAACCCAGGAAGAGCCCAGCACACCCCCAGCCCCAGCCTGCAAGTGCAGCCCACACCACCTCCTCACACAGATCTGGGGCACACACCCTCCTTCCCCCATGCCCTCCCAGGGTGCATGCAGCAGTGGGAGCCACCCCACCAGACCAGCCATGGCTCTGTCCCACACCCCGCCCTGCCCCTGCTGGGCAGCACCTGCCCCAGTCCCTGCCCCACTCCCTCGCTTACCATGGAGGGTGTTGATTTGCACTCCCACACCCTCTCTGCCCTCTCTCCTTCCACCACAACAAATTTACCAGCTGCAAGCAGCTCTCCATGCTGCCAGGCTGTGCTCCTCGCTGCAGCTGCGCACGTGCACAGGGTACTTATCAGCCAAATTATCGGCCACATCAGGCCAATTTCCAATACAATCAATTTTCTTTATATCAGTATCAATCCGATATCGGACTGATGTATTGGTGTACTGCTAGATTCAGACCAACAGGACTTCCTACAAAATAGGCAAAAGAGAAATAGAGCTGCAGTAGTAACCACCTCACAAACCTTTTTGCCAGAAGTTGGGGCTTGGAGTAGATTCTACTCCACGGTAATAAGTCTCTGCCCTTAACAGCTTTTATTAATGAGCAAGTTCACCTGCTCCTGATTTAAAAATGTTACCAAATATCATCAACCCAAACATATGCATGAGGAGGAAGAAGAGCTCCTGAGATGTCCATGCACACTCCCCTCACAACACTGACAGTTTTTGTTATTTATCAAAAGAACACTAATTCAAACCTATTGCCTTTCTTCAGCTCACTGCCAGAGCTGTTACTCCAGAGGAGAAGGATTGTTCAGTACTCAGAACAATAGTCTCAGCTATGAGCCACGTGGGTTTAAATCCTTGATCTGCCACACGCTTCCTGTGCCACCTCAGACAAGTTATTTAACCTTTCCGTGCTATTGTTCCCCACCTGTGAAGTGTGGAAAAAGAGCCCATCCCTACCCTCACAAGGGCATTGCAAAGAAAAAAAGAATCTATATAGCTAGACATGGTCCTGGATTCTACATTAGTCACAAGACTCCTCATTAAAATGGTCCTAAAGCTGCCATACATAGTGTTTTAGATGCAGTATTCACTGTCCTTGCTGGAGGGAACAGTTAGAATATACCAAAGAAACAGTTAGGAATATCTAAAGTGATTGATGGTTTCTTTTTAAGGGTAACCTCTGTATTTGCCTATCTTGGGGCACGGTGCAGAAGTGAAGAGTAACTTTCTCTCCTACTAGCCCTGTGCTGTCTAGGCTGGATTTGCTGACGCGTTTCAGCTGCTTCACACTCCTTCAGTTGCTTAAGTGTCCCACTGACTTAGGTCATGTGGCCTGTGGGATTCCTCATTATCTAGAAAAAAATCTCATCCTCATATTTTGAAGCAAGTAGCAGATCAACACACACTGCCTAAGGGCCTGCTTTGCTATTTTATGGCTATTAACTCAGGACCTGATTCAGGACACTACTTAAGTGTAGAATTAGATTAATAAGACTTATATATGCACTTAAGAGCTTCCCCCTACATCAGGTCATAACTGGGCAGTGATTACAACAGTGATGCTGCTTGCACTAGCATTTTGCTAATCATGTGGGTGATTTCCATCACCTTTTTTACTTTCTGAAAAGAAACAACCCTGGCATTTTAAAACAAAAAGCACTGCTGTTCTGTCATGTCAGAGTTCAGCTGATAAAATTAAAGTTTGTCATCTGCTGTCAGTAAAGATGGCAGAAAATGCTGGGCTAGGCAAATTTACCATACACCAGCTAGGCCAAAGGACTACAGTCAGATGGGGAACTCCAGCACTAGTTTAGCTAACCAATCTCATTCTCAAGCTCCACCCTGCTCTAGAATTTGGAAGGAAGAGAGAACTGTGTCTCTTCTTCATCTTACAAGGCCTCAGGGCTATTACAGGGAGGAAATTTAT